CAACAACAACAACAACAACCACCGCCTCGCCCGGTGGCTTGTATACGAAACCAACATATCTCCTCCGCTTCCTGAAAGATGACACGGCTCGTTGGTTATAGGTGTAATAAGATGTCCAGCTTATTCTACCACCTGGGTATGGACTCGTTGCTAATTCATGACCAGGAACTGAACATAACATGTACGGGTGGAGGCACTGCTCCCACCTCTAGCACTCACTCATCCTTCACTTTTCCAATTTCTCTCAGGTCTTTCGAGCTATACTCGGGAGATCATCTCACTTCCAGCACCTAAGATGGCTTTACCTTCTCTATGCCCTTCCGTTAATGACAGCTTGACCGCATCTGGTGGGCTTCCATCAACAGGAAATCAGAGTAACGCAGAACAACACCATTGATCTTGTGCGAAGCCTCCAATACATACCACCTGAGTTATCAGAAGCAACGAATTCTGCAGATTTCCACGACGCAATCTGTCACACGGACATCGACACCCTGGTCCAGTTTCAGGCTAAACGAGCCAACCGCCCAACCCCAGAACTGCTGACAGCGCTAAACATCATCACAAAGCCATCACAGTCATCACAGGAGCAATCACGCCTAACCAAGCAGAAGCAGGGCGCCCGGGCAAAGGCCGGCGCCAGGAGGAAGAAGGAGAATGGATGAAGGCATTCAGAAAAGACCCACATGTATACAGATCGCTAGATAGAGGTCGTGGAGCCTCAAGCGACAAGGACCGGTACGTACCCAGTACGTACCGTTTCCCTTTGGCATAAGAAGGCCTTGAAGTCCAGCCTTCTCCTAGAGGTTGAGAGGATCAACAAGGCCTTCGAGACCAAAGTAGTTTATTAGCGGAATCGAACTATTGTTCCAAGCTCAGAATACTTCCCTTGTCACACAAGCACTTCGATGAATTCGAGAAGAATATCCCCACAGACCCCCTTGTCCTAGAGGATGACAAGACTCCTCTCGCCCAGACCGCCCGCGAAAGCAAAGAACGAATCCTGCAGGAAATGAGCCCGATTTCTCTCGAGTCCATCGATCGCCCTGCGGCCGACTATCGGAGGAACATTCAAGAAATGAACGCATTCTTTGATAAGCATGGCAATTCAAAGATCGAAGACTTTATCAAAGACCTGAAAGCCAAAAAGAATCAACCTGCCAAGGACTACAAAGTCGGGAGGGTCATGAGGGATGCATCCGAGGCAAGACGCCGGGAGGAGTTCGATAGAGCATGTGATTCGAAAGCGAAGAAGCGGATGATGGGAGGCTCCGAGGCTTGAGTCTCTCGAAGACTATTGGATATCATTAATCTAAGGGCAGAATAATGATAGACAGCGTTCGCGCTCTCTGAAGATGGATGCCCTGGTTTTTGTCGCTTACATGTCCTGGGAGCTGGGACCGGCCAACCTGCCATATCAGGAAGAAGATCCATGGAGATTGAACATCTGAGAATACGAAGAGCAGAGGGTAGAGGAGGAGGGACTAACTGGGCAGCTCATCTGAATCTTTTCTTGCCCTTTTTGTTTTTCGTTTTTATGAACACGCAGTTATGAAATTCGGTTGGTGTTCTTGGGAGGGAGGAGCTGGTGGCAAACTTGTCCTGAGTGTGCGGCGCGTTACTGTGATATCTTGCTATGGCCAAATGTAGCGCATAATTAGTTAGTCGGATATGTCATTCGTTTGCTGCGGGCAGCCAGCGCAAGAGCCAACATCGGGCGATGGTTCCCTTGCAGACCTTCTCATTTCCGTTTTCCTTGCTGTTCTCTCCATTACCTACGATTATCCATTCATTTTCTACTGAACCCCTAGTCATGTCCAATTTCTCCAGAGCTTGCATGTGGTCCTCAAAGTCTTGAGCTCTTTTCTGCAGATTCTTGCTCGACTCCCGTTGTTTGTTCAGGTGCAATGAGTGCCCCTGGGTTGCACATGTTTGATCGAACGTGGAAGAAATCTCTTCAAATCTGCAGGCATACTGCAATGTTTGTGCCCGCCAAGATTTCCATGCAAGAGCATGATGCTGAATGTCCCTACCCTCCAGCTCGCTGTCTGCAAAAGGGGGAAAGAGCAGGACAACACAATAATCAAGTTTACACTGCCCCGCGCTCTCCAGTTGTCTCCCCCAATAATTTTGTCAACATAAAAAGCACCTATTCCTGGAGTATTCCCCCGCATTTGGACAGACTCCATCATTTTCAGGCTTGTTTAGAACGAACGTCCCGAGAGACTTCGCTGACCACGGACTTCCAACCCATTTACTACAAAGCATCCGTTTCACAGATCGTTACCAGTACCACCTAGCTCTGCGCCTTTATTCCCACCAAGTAGCATGTCATCCTGGAGTGTCAGCTCAACCAGCTTAATCAGCTCCTTCCCTTCCACCGAGCCAAAGAGGGCCACCAGCCAGCAGTTCCACAGGATCTAGAACATCTACTCCCTCCACAAGTTCTACATCGTGAACCAAATCAAACGCTGTTCGGCACTTAGTGCACAGGAAATCAACCTCCTCAGCACCGGACTAAGCGAGAAAATCGACAAGAGACGTATAGCCCTGGGAGACCCCTTCACCGAGCGCCCCCATTACATCAACCGCAACCGCGTGGAGGTGGCCACCCGATTCCGCGAGCGATTCACATTCGACGAAGCCGAGGCTCTGTACAAACGAGAATTGGCCGTACACAACCATGTCAGACGACGCCTGGGCCTGGATGAGCTCGTTCGCAAAACGGGCGGAACCTAACGCTAACTCATACTCATCTGCAAGGCCTGGAGGACCAAAAACAACAATGGCAGCCAGATCGCAATACACGTCTATTCGCTGGTTCCTTAGGGCTATTCTTCACTTTGAAGAATCTATTGACAAGAGTGGTGAGCTGAGCAAAGGAATGCAAATCAGGCTGGCGACCAACAAGGTTTACGTCGCCATGAGACGCGAAAAGCTGGGGATATCCGACGTTGATCCGAAGTCAGAGGCTGGGCAGGAAGAGTTGGCGAGATTCCGGGCAAGGTTCACGTACAAGGAGGCGCAGAAATTCTATGTGGCTGTGACGAGGGAACATGATGCGATTGCCGAAGAGATGGGGCTGCATTATCGGATCCTTAGACAATATGTAAACGACGAGGAGGGGGAGGAGGAGTCTAGCACTGAGGAAGTTGATGGCCCTGACGGTGTTAAAGACGAAGGTGAGGAACTGGGAGCTGCTGAGGAAGGTTATCAAGTGGATGCTAAGGGAAGGGATGGTGAATCGGAGGCTGAGGAAGAGAACTCTGAGAAAGAGAACTCCGAGGAAGGGGTGGCTGAGGAAGGCTGGTAATGAATTCGATGACAGCGTTTGAAGTCCTCCCTTCACTCGCTCAGGGAACTGGAGTGGAATAGCGGAAGGAAACGTTGGTACACATGGTTTTGTTTGGCGTGAATCGGAGGTCAGGTAGCTTAGAATGGAGCGAATTTGAACAGTTGAACCTGAGTTGGGTATGTGTTGAGCGGTTGCCAGAACGACGAAATAACCGCCAGTCGGTTGTTGTCAGTTTTTACACTCAAAGATGCGCAAAGCTTTGTGTCCAGCCGTTAAGCGGGAAGGGGATATAACCCACAAAGGACGACCACTCATTGCTCCTTCCTTCTCGAATCATGTCCACGCAATCCACTGCACTTAGGTAGGTACCAACATCCTTGTTCATCGCTCTTACCTCAACCCTCACCTTTGCCTCTCGGCCTCCACTGCACTTGAACCGTCCAGCAGTCAACACTCTTGCCTATTTGGCTACGGCGATGACCCCCCCCCCCGGGCACAAGTTCCACCTGCAAGGACGACACTCCTCTCCCAAACAGCTCAATCCAGCGTTGGAGATAAGTCAAGTAGGTGTGGAGCAGGTCAAGTAAGTAAGTAAACCAAGTAATCAAGTTGGGATTTGACTGCTGTTCAAGTAAGTTGGAGACCCCTACTTGATCTACTTGATCTACTTGGCCGCCCGGCAGAATTATTTTTTTGGTAGTGAAATCGCCCGCCAACCAAAATTTTGAAGGTGAAATCGGACCGGGGTTAAGGTTCTATATAGGACCCATCCTCCTTAACAATTACTTGACCAACTTGACCAAGTAACCAAGTAAATAAATACGACTCCCTACTTGACCCACTCAATCAAGTTGAGACCCCCTACTTGACTTGATTTGACTTGTTTCCATTGCTGGCTCAATCTCCTCTTGCTCCTTCCATTCCACCCCCAAAGCAACCAACATCAGGGTCAATTACATCATCTCAATCTCCTTCTAGCACCTCCAACAGCCAGAATGTCACACGGACGTCTGCCTACACTCCTGGGTTTGAA